AAATTATAGTAAAGTATATGTAACATAACACTTATTTTTTCACCTTTTTTTTTTAAGACAGAGTTTCGCTCTTATTGCCTAGGCTTGAGTACAATGGTGAGGTCTCAGCTCACTGCAACCTCCACCTCCCAGGTTCAAGTGATCCTCCTGCCTCAGCCTCCCAAATTGCTGGGATTACAAGAGCCTGCCACCAGGCCTGGCTAATTTTTGTATTTTTAGGAGAAACGGGGTTTCACCGTTTTGGCCAGGCTGGTCATGGACTCCTGACCATAAGTGATCCGCCCACCTTGGCTTCCCAAAGTGCTGAGATTACAGGCGTGAGCCACTGAGCGTGGCCTATCTTACCATTTTTAAGTGTACAATTCAGTTTGCTTCCCTCTCAGAAAGACCTCATGATTACAGCAGGCCTACCTGGATAATCCCCACCTCAAGGTCCTACACTTGGAACCACATCTGCAGAATTGCTTTTGCCATGAGAGATGGCATAGTCACAGATTCTGGGAATTGGGGAGTAGGCGTCTGGAGGGGTCTGCTATTCTGTCTACCTTCCTTCAAGCCACCAGCCCCCTCACACCCACAATCACCTGTGTCCCTGTTGGACCTGGGATCCCCAAGGCTTAGCCAGTCTCCATCCCTGCTATGTCTCCAGCACCTAGAGCAAAGCCTGGGACACCCAAATTCCAACATGCAATTAGCACTTAACTCTAACCTGGAAGTGGGATACAGTCATTCTTTTGAAGAATGGTTAAATCGCCATTCCACCAGGTCCACCCTGACTTGCACGGGCCACAGCATGCGCAGGCTTACCGGGAGGGCCTTGCCTCCCCTGAACAGCGGTCCATGCACAACAAGCCACCCGCAAACCCACTTTACAAATAGGCCCTCAGAGAGGTGAATGAAGTTCCCACATTTGCACATAGGTGTCCCTGCCCCTAGGCTGGGAGTCACCAGGACACCATTTCAGGATTTGCTGCTGAAATGCTGAAATACAGGCCAGGCATAGTGGCTCAAGCCTGTAATCCCAGTGGACAGATCACACTTGAGGTCAGAAGTTCGAGACCAGCCTGGCCAACATGGTGAAATCCCATCTCTACTAAAAAAAAAAAACAAAACTTAGCCGGGCATGGTAGCGTGCACCTATGTTTCAGCTACTCAGGAGGCCAAGACAGGAAGATCGCTTGAACCAGGGAGACAGAGGCTGCAGTGAGCCGAGATCACACCAGCCTGGGCAACAGAGTGAGACCCTGTCAGAAAGGGAGAAAGGGAAGAAAGGGAGAAAGGGAGGAAATGAGAAAGAGATAAAGAGAAAGAAAGAGAGAGGGAGGGAGGGAGGGAAGGAAGGAAAGAAAGGAAGGAAGAGAGGGAGGGAGGGAAGGGAGGGAGGGAGGAGTGGTGGGGGGAGGGAAGGAAGAAATCCTGAAATACACCTGAACCAGTTGTAACTAGCCTCTGCTTCAGGCCTCCAAATGAATGCCCGTCGCACTGCCTGGACCCTCCAGAGTCTCCAGGCCCCCTCTTGAGCCAGTAACTAGTGGTCACTGCTCATGCCAGCAGGGGTTCCCGACTGGCCAGCACCTGACCCTGCTGTGTGGGAAATGCGCTCCCATATTCTGGCCCACAGTAGGCACTCAGTGGGCATAGGGGGCTGGAAAAGTGACTCCCATCCTCACTCCGTGCTCCCCCTGCAGCCCCCATGAGGAAATGGCACCTCAGCACGACAGGCTGTGCCCCCCTTCCTCTGGGAACAGTGGATGTGAGGGGACCGTAGGGTGCAGAACAAGAGGGCTTTGAGGCAGCCCTATCTCCGGAGGGAAGTGGAGGAGATAATGCAGCTTCTCACTTTCCCAGCCTGTCCCAGAGCAGAGATAACCCAGAGGAGACGGGGTGCCCAGAGCCCTATGAGCAACGGGGCCACCCACCTGCCCCCCAGGTCTCCCACACGCCCTGCTATCGCGGACTCCAGGCTGAAACCCGAGGAGCCGCTCGGAAGAGTGGCCCAAGACAGGCAGGTGATAAGCTGGGCCACTCAGCGTCTCCTGGAAAAAGACCTGCCAACTGCAACTGCCCCTTCCCAAGCCTGGTGCCACCCGACCCGGCCCCAGGGAGCCCACCATCACCATCACCAGGCCCATGCTCCCAGAGCTGCCATAAGACATGGCCTCTGCCTAGCTGCCATCCGCAGACCTGAGGGTCCTTCAAAAGCACCCGGTCCAGCCTTCTCACTGACCAATGAAGAAGCTGAAGAGAGGTTGGGATCTTGCCCAAGTCACACAGCATTTTGATGGCTGAGCCAGCACTTGAACCCACATCTCCTGGCTGCTGCAGGGAGCACACCAGACTTCTGTTCTCAAATACTGGTCAAATATTAAGAGAAGGGGGCAGGGGCCTGGAGAGCACCAGGTCTAAACTCCAGAGGGTGGGTTGGGGGTGGAGAGAAAGAGGCAGCATCATCGGAGCTGGGAGCCCGACACCAGGCTTCCGCCTCCAGCTCTGCACTCACCCACGTGACACCTTGACCCAGTCTCTGCTCTTCTCTGAGCCTCAGTTTCCTAATCTATGAAAAGGAGATAAGAATGGGTTTTTTTGTTTATTTGTTTGTTTGTTTTTTGAGACGGAGTCTCTCACTGTTGCCCAGGCTGGAGTGCAGTGGCCCAATCTTAGCTCACTGCAACCTCCACCTCCAGGGTTCAAGCAATTCTCCTAGCTCAGCCTCCTGAGCAGCTGGGATTATAGGCACGTGCCACCACGCCTGGCTAATTTGTTGTTGTTGTATTTTCTTTTAGGAGAGATGGGGTTTCACCATGTGGGCCAGGATGGTCTCGATCTCTTGACCTCGTGATCCGCCTGCCTTGGCCTCTCAAAGTGCTGGGATTACAGGCATGAGCCACTGAGCTTGGCCAAGAATGGTTTTACCATAAGAGTTGCAGAGTGGGCCGGGTGCAGTGGCTCATGCCTATAATCCCAGCACTTTGGGAAGCCACGGTGGGCGGATCACTAGGTCAAGAGATGGAGACCATACTGACCAACATGGTGAAATCCTGTCTCTACTAAAACTACAAAAATTAGCTAGTCTCTGCTTCAGGCCTCCAAATGAATGCCCCTTGCACTGCCTGGACCACCAGAGCCCCCAGGCCCCATCTTGAGCCAGTAACTAGTGGTCACTGCTCATGCCAACAGGGGTTCCCCAGGCCACCCGATTGGTCAGCACCTGGCCCTGCTAGGTGGGAAATGTGCTCCCGTGTTCTGGCCCACAGTAGGTCTCTACTAAAAGTACAAAAATTAGCTGGGCATGGTGGCACGCGCCTGTAGTCCCGCAGGAGAATCACTTTAACCGGGAAGATGGAGGTTGCAGTGAGTCGAGATCGTACCACTGTACTGCAGCCTGGTGGCAGAGCAAGACTTCACCAAAAAAAAGAAACAAGAGTTGCAGAGTAGATTGAACAACTTCATTTGATTAAAGGATTTGGGGGAGTGCCTGGTCCCCAGCAGAGCCTCTGAGATGCTGCTGCTGTGACTCCATCTGTCCTCCTTCTCTGCAGAGCATGCTGTGAAGGCAGAGGCTGGAGGTGTTCAGCTCTCAACACAGGTCCCACGCTCATGGGGTCCACTCCTTCAGCAAGTTTCCTAAGGAACGGCTGCATTGCACTCAGCGCTTCCATCAGGAAAGCGTGGGGGCCATGAGAGGCGAGCACACATGGCTGGATGCATGAATGAGTGAGGGAGTGGATGCATGAATGAATGAATGAATCCATCTGCCCAGCTTCTCCCCATTGGAGGGGCTCCCAGGCTAGCTTCCTCCTAGCCTAGCTTCCTCCCAGCCTAGCTCCCGCCTCTGCTCCTTTGATAGGTCTATGCCCCTCCCCCATCCTGGCCCCAGGTAGAAGCAGCAGGTGGTCGGGGCTACAGGTGGCCAGTGCAGCGGAGGCTCTTGCTCAGGGACAAATGTGCTGCTTCCCACAGACTAGCAGCCCAGACACTGCCCGCCTGCTGCCTGCCCAGCGCCAGCCTGAGCAAGCCTCCCTCACAGGCACAGAACTCTCAGTGCTCAGTGGCCAAGAGTGTGCACTGGCCTGAGACCCAGAGCAGAGCCCTCACCCACAGCCAGCCCTGGAAGGCCAGCAACTGCAGGGTGAGTGATTCCCAGGTCTGGAACCACCAGGGCCCTGCTCTAGCCTTCAGTACATTCACATGTAGCACCAAATCTGATTCCCATGGCAGGATGAAGGCATTGTTAAGTGGGGAAACTGAGGCTCAGGGTAGGAAGTGTCTTGCCCAAGGTCCCAGAGTGAGACAGAGGCAGAGAGGAATAGGAATCAGGGCTCGGTTCTTCTAGCCTGCGGTGCTGGGGGTCCTCAAATGTCCTCATTCCCCACATCACCACCACCCCCCACCCCCACTACTTTGTAATGCCTGAGGACCTTCCCCGCCAGGCACAGTGTCCCAGCACAGCATCCCTGTCTCCACCATCCCTCAAGAGCTCCTTGGAACCCCAGTTTCCTCATTGTCAGTGTGGCTAAGGATTCAATGAGAGGCTCTCATTTGCATAGACATTTCTCCAAAAAAGATCCATGAATGGCTAATAAGAGCATGAAAAGATGCTCAACATGACTGCTGATTGGAGAAATGAAAACCAAAACCCGTGCCTTCAGTGGTGGGACCACTTCACACCCACAGCATGGCTATGAACAGAAAGACAGGAGCCAATGTTGGTGAGAATGTGGAGAAACTGGAGTCCTCCTAGGTTGCTGGTGGGAATGTAAAATGATTCAGCCACTCTGGAAACCAGTTTGGCAGTTCCTCAAAATGTTAAATATGGAGTTGCCACATGACCCAACAATTTTCCTTTTACAGAGAAGAAATACGTTCACACAAAGACACGTACAAGAATGCTCACAGAAATATTATATTTAATAGTCAAAAGGTGAAAACAACCCAAATGTCCATCAACGGATGAGTGGACAAATGGTGGTATGTCCATACAATGGAATATTACTCGGCCATGAAAAAGGAATGTTGCTCCCGGCTGCTCTACTGGAAGAAATAACAACAAGGAATGAAGGACTGACACATACCACAACTTGACACTCACTGAAAGAAGCTAGTCACAAATGGCTACACATTATTATATGATTCCATTTATATAAAACATCCAGAACAGAGAACTCTCTAGAGACAGAAAGCAGAGCAGTGTTCCAGGGACTGGAGGAGGGGAACAGGGAGTGGCTGCTGATGGGTGTTGGGTTTCTTTGGGGGATGATGTAAATGTTCTAAAATTAGATTGTGGCCATGGTTGTACAACTCTGTAAATATACTCAAAACCATTGACTCATATACTTTAAGTGGGTGAATTTCAGGGTATGTAAATTGTCTTTCAAGAAAGCGCTGCAAAAAATGGACTCGTCCAAGTCGAGGCTGGACAGCCCTCGGTTCAAGCCCAGGAGGCAGGAGCTACTGTGGGTCTTCTTCTTGCTATCGGCACTGTCTCTCTTTCACTCCTCACAATGACCCCATAGGGTGGGCATTTGGCAAAAAAGGCAAAGTGAGTTTTGGAGAAGTCGGAGCCCCAGTACTTCTCTGGCCTTCTGGACAGACAAGAGCAGGGTCAGGGGCAGCCTTCCCAGGGAGGCTGGCTGGGGGCTCAGTGAGCTTCAATTCCACATGCCAGGGCTCTGCAGAAGACTTGGGGAGGGGGGACTCTAGGTCCTCAGGCCTCTGATCCTCCTACCCCTCCCCACTGCAGGCCTCTGTTTTCCCATCTAGCAAAAGGGTTCCTTCAGTGGTTTTCAAATTGTGCTCCAAGGCACCCTGGGGCTAAGAAGAGATTGCAACCACCCTGAAGAGAGGATGTCCCCAAGGTCCTCCTAGGACCCCACCCACATCCCTGTCTCCCCATCAGTCCTGGTCCACCCCTGAAAGGCAGGATGTGGCTGCCAAAGGTAGGTAGGGAAGAGGAAGGCGTGGGGGGCTGTGCGTAGGAATGGACAACCTGGGGACCCGGAGATGGGAACTCCAGGTGCCTGGAGCCTGGCTTCCGGCTCCGGCCTAGGGAAGAAGCCTTGGCTGCCACCTCCCGGGATGAAGCCGCCTGGCTTGCCGCCCAGAACCCTTCCTGGACATGGTGCTGGCATCTCAGCTTCCCTTCTGGTGGAGGAGACACTCTGGGGCCACTTGCTTGGGTTTCCAGGACTGGATAGTCCATGGCTCTGGCTACCAAGTCCCAGATACCCCAAGTATCTGGCAAGAGAGTGAGGCTGGGCTGTGTTGAGTGCTGGGGACCCTGCCCATTCTGTTTGCGTGAGCTTAACCCCAGCACACCCTTCTGCAAAGACTACCAGGTTGGGGGATGTGCATGAGCAGTAGGGAGTGGTGGGGTCTGAGGCCAGATGGAGCACCCCTGGCCCTTCCGAAGTGGGCAGTGGCTACATGGCTCCAGCCAGCAATGACCAGACTTTTTATTTTTCAGGAGAAGCCAGAAATCTGGGTTATAATTTGAAATCTCCAGAGTTTGGAAAGTTTTATGAGCAAAACACATCCACAAACAGGGTACAGCAGGCAGGCTGCTATAAGCAACATTATCTCTGAGACGGTACAACCACCACCTTTCTCATCTTATCTTTTACTTTGTTTATTTTTGGTAGAGATAGGGTCTCGCTCTGTCACCCAGGCTGGAATATGGTGGCATGATCATAGCTCATGACAGCCCAGGGTAGAAGTGTCCTGCCCAAGATCTCAGAGTGAAACAGAGGCAGAGAAAAATAGGAATCAGGGCTCAGTTCTTCCAGGCTGCGGGGCTGGGGGGTCCTCATACCTCCTTGGTCCCACATCACCCCACCCCCACTCCCACGAGTTTGTAATCCCTGAGGACCCTCCCTCCGGAGCTCAAGGAATTCTCCTACCTCAGCTTCCTGAGTAGCTGGGACAATAGGCACACAGCATTATGGCCAGCTAAGTTTGTTTTTTGGGGGTGTGTCGGGGGGGAGGTCAGGGGTAGACATGGGGCCTCACTATGTCTTGCGGGCTTGTCTTTTTTTTTGAGACAGAGTCTCGTTCTGTCACCCAGGTTGGAGTGCAGTGGCATGATCTTGGCTCACTGCAACCTCTGGATTCAAGCGATTCTCCTGCCTCAGCCTCCCGAGTAGCTGGAGTTACATGTGCCTACCACCACACCTGGCTAATTTTTGTATTCTTAGTAGAGAGATGGGGTTTCTCCATGTTGGCCAAGGCTGGTCTCGAACTCCTCACCTCAGGTGATCCGCCTACCTCAGCTTCCCAAAGTGTTGGGATTACAGGTGTGAGTCACTGCGGCTGGCCCCAGGCTGGTCTTGAACTCTTGGCCTCAAATGATCCTTGTGCGTTAGCCTCTCAAAGTGCTGAACATACTGATGGTGCTTGTGGCGTGGGCCACCGCACCTGGCCACAAACACCATCTTGCAGATGAGAACACTGAGGCTCAGGGGAAGCAACACGGGCAGTCCCTGGTAAGTAGCCAAGCCCAGACTGAAGCCAGAGTCTATGAATTCCAGATTTGAGGAAGGACACTTCCATGAAGCCATTCCTTTACTTAAAACAAACAAAAAAACAAACAAAACCCTCCCTCTACAGCGTCGTCAAATAACAAGGGAACACGCACCCATACACTGCAGCTCAAGGAAGCTGTTTCTGTGCATTGCCTGCCATTCTCCAAGAAAAGAGCCCCGCCATGCACAGGGTGTGTTTAAGGCGGAGAAGAGAATTCAAATCCATCTTCCCGTGTACCCGCCTGGGGCAGCTCTGGAAAAATACACTCAAGAAACGGTGCAGGGACGGAGTGGCAGAACTCCTCTCTCACTACGCGTCCTTTGAGTATTTTGATGAGCGGACGTGTAAACGCATTTGCTCTTCAGCAAGTAAATGGTTGTTTTATTTGTTTTTAATGTTCTCTCAATTCATTCTGAGCCTGGAACCTGAAGGGGTGTTTGCGGGTGTCCCTGGGGCCCGGGGCCAGCTCCCTGGGAGCTGGAGAGAATGAGGGAGGGGAAGTAAGCCAGGATGGGACCCCTGTGTGCCGACCACCCTGCCAATCCCATCCACTCCTGTGTGCATGATGAGTACACTTGGTCCGCACAACCACCCCAGAAGAGAAGGGCGTTACAATCCTTGTCTACACATGAGGAAACTGAGTCACAACAACCAGAAGTTATGGAAGCTGTTTTGGAGTTTGGGGGCCAGGTCCTAGGTCCACCTCTGCTCCTCCCCAGTCCCTTCCATGTCTCAGCTGAGGATCCACAGTCTGGGGTCCGTCACAGCCCAACCCAGGCCCCAGACCCCAGGCTCATTCTCTGGTTCCCTCCGGTGAGCTAGTGGGGCAGTTCTGGCTCTAATGGCACCATCACACTCCTGCCTATCAGCTGGGCTGGGAGCAGCTGGATTCCTTCCAGAAATGGCTCCATTCAAGGTGCAAAGACCATCTGGGCTCCAGCCAGAGGCATTTCCACCCCTGAATTTCTGATGCAGCTGGGGGAGGCACCCCCTCCCCATGGAGCCCGTCTCTGGGAATCCCTCAGTACTTCCTGCCCAAGGTGGGATTTGAAGGTAGGATCCCCAGAGAACTCAAGGCGTCCCCTTGGGCATCTCATAGCATTGCCAGGAAGAGTTTGGCACCCCACTGACTCCTCCTATGAGGAGACCAGACAGATGAGACCATCAGGTGAAAGTCACACAGCCAGTGGGCAGGAAGATAAACTGTGCTGTTATTCAGAGTCACCTAGACCTGCTTTGGGTTATAAAAGAAATATGCAAATGGGGCCGGGCACTGTGGATCATGCCTGTAATCCCAGCACTTTAGGGGGCCGAGGTGGGCAGATCACATGAAGTCAGGAGTTCGAGACCACCCTGGCCAACATGGTGAAACCCCGTCTCTACTAAAAATACAAAAATTAGCTGGGTGTGGTGGTGGGTGCCTGTAATTCCAGCTACTTGGGAAACTAAGGCAGGATAATTGCTTGAACCCCGGAGGCAGAGGTTGTAGTGAGCCAAGATTACACCACTGCACTCCAGCCTGGGCAACAGAGTGAGACTCTGTCTCAATAAATAAATAAATACACACAAAAATTAGCCGGGCGTGGTGGCACAGGCCTGTAATCTAAGCTACTCAGGAGGCTGAAGCAAGAGAATCCCTTGAACCCACGAGGCAGAGGCTGCAGTGAGCAGAGATTATACCCCGGCACTCCACCCTGGGCAACAGAGTGGGATCCTACCTCAAAAAGGAAGAAGAAATATGCAAATGGGTTCTCCTTGGAAAGGAGCCATACTATGCAGATGAGGCCCCCCCTGCTCTCCATCCCCCTTCCCTGCTTCACTTTGCTCCCCAGCATCTACCCTCCAGACGTGTCACAGCTACATGTGAATTACTGTCTGTCTTCCATGAGACAAGGATGGTGTCTGTTGTGTTACCCACTGTGTTGTGTTGCCAGCACCCTGAACCTAAAACCAGGCTGGTCTCAAACTCCTGATCTCAGGTGATCCACCCACCTCAACCTCCCAAAGTGCTGAGATTACAGGCGTGAGCCCCCAGGTCCAGCCACCTGGCTAATCATCCTGGATGATTTGGGTGGGCCCAGCATGATCACAAGAATCCCTGGATGTGCAAGAGGGAGGCAGAAGAGCGAGCGTCAGGGTTGGAGGGAGCGGGAGAGGCTGTGCCACTGGCGTTGAGGGGTGGAAGGAGCCCCAAGCCAAGGCATGCAGGCGGCCTCTAGGAGCTGGAAAGGCAAAGGCGAGCCCCTGAAGCCATAGGCCCTGCCCGCACCATGACTTCAGCCCTCGAGACCCATTTCAGACTTCCGACCCCCGGAGCTGTAAGAGCACACTTCCGTGTTATTTTCAGCCGCCACATTTGTGGTGGTTCCTCCCAGCAGCAATAGGAAACGAACGCAGTTGTAGTGTGGGCCCAAAACCACTTTCCTCTGAATTTACGTTTGTTTTGTTTTGTTTTGAACTGAGTGTCACTCTGCCACCCAGGCTGGAGTGCCGTGGCACAATCATGGCTGACTGCAGCCTCAACCTCCCAGGCTCAAGTGATCTTCCCATCCCAGCTTCCTGAGTGCGGGGACCACGGTCATGCAACACCATGCCTGGCTAATTTTTGTTTGTATGTTTGTTTAGATGGAGTTTTGCTCTTGTCCCCCCAGACTGGAGTGCAATGTTGAGATCTCGGCTCACTGCAACCTCCACCTCCTGGGTTCAAGCGATTCTCCTGCCTCAGCCTCCCAGGTAGCTGGGATTACAGGCACACACCACCATGCCCAGCTAATTTCTTGTATTTTTAGTAGAGAGGGGGTGTCACCATGTTGGCCAGGCTGGTCTCAAACTCCTGACCTCAGGTGATCCGCCCACCTCGGCCTCCCAAAGTTCTGGGATTACAGGCGTGAGCCCCCAAGCCCAGCCGTGTCGAGGTGTTGGAAATTGTTCTTCCTCACTGGTCTGGGACCCCACCCATTCAGCATGGATCCAGCCCCCTCTTGCCTGTCCCTCTGTGTGGAAGCACTCACAGAGGACTGGCAGGCGTCCAGGACCACTTTTCCTCTTTCACTATGACACACAGTGCCACAAGCGTGTCCATGAGCACGGGGGAGTGTTTCCTAAGACCTCCCAGGCTGTTCCTCACTGTGGGACCTCAGGGACATCACGCCCACCCTCTGAGCCTCTGGGTCCTCATCTGTTAAATGGAGCATCATGGTCCTTCCCTCACAAAGAGCTCTCCCTATGCCAAGCTGGTGCCCTCTCCTCTCCTCTTGGCAGGACCCTGCAGGGGGCAAAGGACACAGCGGGTGACTCCACCCTGACACTCAGCTGTGATCAGCATGTCAGGTCCTGCCCAGCTTGCCCTGTGGAGCGGAGCTCCAGGGAAGGCCCAGCCCAAGCTGCCCACGCACCAGGTTCACAGAACGAAAAATCTCAGTCATGGGTGCTTGGGCTGGGTCATCAGAGCCTCTGAGGTCAGGGGCTCCAGGAGGAAGGATCACAGTGGCACAGGGATGGGGACAGCAGGACGTTGGGAACAGCCTCCACACTGGCCACCCCTTGGCTGGGGACTATGAGCCAGTCACCATCTGTGCCAGGCCTCGGAGTCCTCCCCTGTAAAGGAGGACAACAATGACCCTTCCTGGGCTGTGCTGGGGGCCCTGCAAGGGAGCGAGATGTGAACGGAGGTGGAAATGACACTTCCTGGCCCTCAAGAAGCTCTAGTCTGGGCTCGAGTAAACAGGCTTTGACTTTGCAAGGAGAGGGGCTCCAAGTGGGAGCTGGGATCTCAGAGGACACTCCCTCCCCAGCCAGCCTGGGGAATCAGGGAGGCCTTCTGGAGGAAGGGGCATCTGGAACTCTTGGGGCCATGCAGCTAAACCCAGAAGTGCCCTTCTGTAGGGGTGGCCATCAGCCCTCCTGAGGCACGGCAATGTCCAGGCCAGGGCAGGAAGCCAGGCGGGGGCCTTCAGAGGGGCTTTCTGGGTGGAAGTGGAAATGGGCTTCCTCAAGGTGGTGAACGAGGTCGGGGCTTGGCCAACCTGCCAGGTGATTCCTCCTGGTCAGCCCCTGGCCTGCCCATCACCAGCCACTGGTCAGGCCCGGGGCTGCCTGATGCCCCCTGTGCTGACTCATGTCCGCCCGGCTGTCCCTGGCTGGAGGGAGGGGGTGGACCCTACTCCACACTTGACCTTATCAGGCCTTGCTGGTGTCCAGCCGCCTGGACGTGGGCAGGGCCTCAGCCCCACAGGCCCGACTCTGGACCTCCCCACCCCCTCCCGGCCCTGGTTGGGCAGGGTGTGCATGAGCTCATGGGAGCCCCAGGCGGGGCAGGATGGGGCAGGGCAGGCAGGGCGGCAGCCCAAGAAGGGAGGAGGCCAACAGCCTGGCTCCGGTGCCCGTGGGGCCTGCCTGGCTGCCCCCTGCCCAGTGGGACAGGACTGGGCACAGGCTATTTTTAGTTCCCGGGTGGGCCCCAGATGTAGCAGTTGGTACCCTATACTTCCACCCTACAGCCTGGCCTGGCACACAGGGCATGCACCCGGTATGAAGGCACACACTTGTGGACACACCCGTGCACAGGAACGCTCTTGCAACTGTTTGAACACACACGAGCGTGAACATGCAGTGGGTGTACATGGGTATGTGCCCACATCCATGTACAGAGACATGCCCACTCCACTTCCAGACCTTCATGCAGACATACCAACTGCTATTCACATGTGTGCACACGTGTACATGCACCTCCCACAGGCATGCCAACATACACAGAGGCTGGCACATAAGGCCCACCTAGGTGTACACTTTGGGGGACACCAGCTGGCTGAGGGAGACCCAGGACCCCACCTGTGTGTGCACACGCCAAGTGCCAGCTTTAGAGACTTTCATTTCTTGCTGGCTCTGCTAATGATGCCCTCCAGGAGGTCCCAGTCTGGCAGCTGTAAACAGGCATGAGCACAATAGGACTCTTGTTGTTTCAGGCGTAGCACAGAGAAGTGATGACCCAGCCCGGGGTGGTCAGGGAAGGCTTCCTGGAGGAGTGGGTCCCTGAAGGAACAAGAAGGGAAGGATCTGCCTGTTTGAATGAAGCCAGCCTAGACTGAGTCATTTTCTCTGCCTAGGAAAATCACAACCACAGTGGTAAACCCTTGCAACAGCGCCCATTTACCACACACTTCCTCAGCACCAGGCTCCACGCGCGTCGTCTCATCTCATCCTCATGGCAACCTTGGGAGGCAAGTCCTGCTACGGTCACCATGTGCAGATGAAGCCCCTGAGGCAAAGACCGGCCTGGACACGTGGCTGGTGAGTCTGACCCCAAAGCCTGTGTTCTTAACCCAGCCTACAGGCTCTGATGGTGACTTCCTTGGCCGTGGAGGCTGTTCCAGTTATCCATAGCTATGTTTCAAATAATCCCAAAATTTAGTGGCTTAAAGAGCAACCATTTATCTTGCTCACAGATCTGCAAGTCAAGCCAGGCTCAGCAGGAAGGCACAGCACTGCTCTATGAGGCATCAGCTGGGGCAACTTGAGTGGGAGCTGGAAGTCCCATTGGCTCTGCTGGGGCTGAGAGCTGGCAGGGGTGGAGGGTGTTCCTTCCCACATGGGCCTTTCTTTCTGTGGGGTTGTTGAGCTTCCTCACAGCATGGTGGCTGAGTCCCAAGAGGTGGGAAATGGAAGTTGCAGTTTCTTAAGGCCTAGTTCCAGAAACTGACACAGATCACTGGCACCATATTGATCAAACATCCACAGAGCCCAGATTCAAGCAAAAAGGACATAGACTCCCACCTCTCAAGAAGAGGAGCATCAAATAATTGGGGGGAGAGCATGTTCTAAAACCACCAGAGTGAGGATGGCGGGGCAGGACTCCAAGGCAGGCAATCAATATCTAATGCAGAGCCTCCTGCCCTGTTCCAGACCTCACAACTCCAGCCAAGGCCACAGTCAGCCCAGTGCAGACTGCAGGCTGCCCCCACCCACCCCTGCTCTTTCCTACATTTTCTTTTCTTTGCCTTTCGCTCCCTCCCTCTCTCCCTTGCCTCCCTCCCTCTCTCTCTCTCTTTCTCTTTCCCTCCCTCTCTCCTTTCTTTCTTTCCTTCCTTCCTTCTTTCCATCCTTCCCTCCTTCCTTTTCTCTTTCTTTTGAGATGGTCTCACTATGTCACCCAGGCTAGAGGGCAGAGGCACAGTCTTGGCTCACAGCAGCCTCAACCACCCCAGTTGAAGCAATCCTCCCAGCTCAGCCTCCCCAGTAGCTGGATCCACAGACATGCACCACCACATCCAGCTATTTTTTTTTTTCCTTGTATTTTTTGGAGAGACAGGGTTTTACCATGTTCCCCAGGTTGGTCTTGAATTCCTGGGCTCAAGGGATCCACCTGCCTCAGCCTCCCAAAGTGCTGGGATTACAGGCTCTGTTTACATTTTGTGTGTGTGTATGCCAAGCACAGAGGGGCCACTGCATGTGGCTACAGAGGCCCAGCTGGCCTGGCACCTCAGCTGGAAAGGGGCAGCCTCTGGGTAGAAGAGCTGGGTGCCCAGGTGGGAGGAAAGCATTTCACTCACCTGCTGCCAGAGCTCCCTCGTAGCCCCAGAGTTCTAGGCTTCCCAGTCCTATCTCCTCTGCTTTCTCCAAGCCCATTCCAGGGAAGCAGAAACCCAGACAGGGTTTGGAGGATGTCACTCCTAGGTCCTGAAGTGAGGTCTCAGAACAGATGTTCTCCTGAAGTCTCCTCTCCTAAAATTTTATAATTCTGGGGTTGGAAGTGTCCCATACTATAAAATCCAAAAGTCTATTTTCCTGCTTCTCTTTTTCTTATTTATTTATTTTGAGACAGGGTCTCGCTCCGTCACCTAGGCTGAAGTGCAGGATTGCAATCATGGCGCACTGCAGCTGTGAACTCCTGGACTCCCACCTTAACCTCCCACCTTAACCTCCCAAAGTGCTGGGATTGCAAGCGTGAGCCACCATGCCCAGCCTCCTCTCCTTCTTAAGATTCTAAGTTTCTAATATGTTTTGACTCAGGTGGACAGCATCAGTCAAACCGCAAAGGGGCTTACCCTTTGACCCAGCAATTCTCCTTCTACGGGATCTTCTAGCCTCCAGAAATCATCAAGCACGTGCAGAAGAGACATGGCAAAAGTGTTCACAGTGGCTTCGTGTGTAACCAGGAAAATCCGGGAGCTGCCCTCACATGCACCAACGGCCAGAGCCATTTCCAGAATGCAGCGTCTGGTACGTGCCTGTGAAACTTCTGCATTCAACACGCCACAGCCACATGTGGAGAACAGAGAGGAGCCCTGGAGGGAAGAGCTGCGGGTGAAGAAGGGCCATGGGGCAGGTGGCTACTAGTTTCCTGTAATAATTACCATATACCGAGTGGCGGAAATAACGGCTGTTTGTTCTCATAGTTTTGGAGCCTAGAAATCCAAAATCAAGGCCAGGCACGGTGGCTCATGCCTGTAATCCCAACACTTTGGGAGGTTGAGGAGGGCAGATCGCCTGAGGTCAGGAGTTCAAGACCAGCCTGACCAACATGGAGAAACTCCGACTCTACTAAAAACACAAAATTAGCCGGGCATGGTGGTACATGTCTGTAATCCCAGCTACTCAGGAGGCTGAGGCAGGAGAATCACTTCAACCTGGGAGGCAGAGGTTGCAGTGAACCGAGATCGAACCACTGCACTCCAGCCTGGGTAACAGAGCAAGACTCTGTCTCAAAAAAAAAAAAAAGGTTCTAAAATCCCAGAAGAAAAGATGTCTTCAAAGATCCTTTGTCTCCCAGGGTCAATGTCGCCAGTTTTTCTGGGAGGCCCTGAGGACCCCTCAGCAGTGAGATGGAAATGGTCAGCATGGCACGGTGGACGCCTCTGGGACCTGCCCAGCTGACCAGGCTGGAAGTTGTGGAGGCATCCTCAGGTGTCCAGGTGTTAAGCCTCCCTGAGTCACGGGCAATCTGATGGCTGACGATCATAGCCCAGCACTTGCTCTGGGTAGGAGCGGGGCACCTTGGGGTATGGCGGAGCTGGGGAGTAGTGGGCAGTGGACTGGGAGCTCTGCCTGGCACCAGCGACCCACTCGCCTATGACAGGCTCCTCAAGGGTCCTGAGTAGTCACAGATCCCAACCCCTCATTTTTGTTTTGTTTTTGTTTGAGACAGTCTTGCTCTGTTGCCCAGGCTGGCGTGCAATGGTGTGATCTCGTCTCACTACAGCCTCCACCTCCCAGGATCAAGTGGTCCTCCTGCCTCAGTCTCCCGAGTAGCTGGGATTACAGGCATGTGTCACCATGCTCAGCTAATTTTTGTATTTTTAGTAGAGATGGGGTTTCACCACGTTGCCCAACTCCTGACCTCAAGTGATCCACCCGCCTCGGCCTCCCAAAGTTCTGGGGTTATAGACATGAGCCATCACACAGGCCTCCAACCCCTTGTTTTATCGATAGGGAAATGAAGCCTGACAGAGAAAGGGCTTGGCCAGGGTCACCTCCTGAATTAGGAACCATGTGGCCTGTCCCACTGCTGCTCAGCAAGAGGCTCCCCAGCCTCCTCCACACCCGCTGGGGCGGCCCCAGTGCCTCCCTCTGCCAGAGTGGCCCTTCATTCTCCCAGCTCACCCTTCGAGGAGAGCAGGAGATGATCAGCCTTGTGCACAGATGAGGGAAACTGAGGCTCAGGCTGGCGAAGGGGCAGAGGGGTCAGAACCAGTCGGCAGACACTCACTAGGCTCAGATCCCCCCTACCAGTGCCCCGAGGACACAGAGCCACCAGACCCCCAAGTGTGCTGTGGCAGATTCCATGCAGACCCATCCACCTGGGGCTGGGAGGAGCCCTCCTCACCCTGCCTGGCCTCCGAGGTTTTTTCTTCTTTCTTGATGGTGCCTTACTCCCCATCTCCTGCACGCTGTGCTGTGGCCCAGGACCCAGGATGGAGCAGGGTTTTCTGGACCATGACAGTCCAGTCTGTGTCTGTGAGTCTGGAGGGATCGTCTGTGTACCACTCTGAACCTTTGCTTCCTCATCTGCAAGAGGAGGGCACTCACAGCAGTGGTTGCAGATTGGAGGAGAGGACATCTGCCCTGTCCACGAGCCTGGTGCGCAGTGGGTGATCAGGACTTCCTCCCAGAGACCCGGCATCCCAGGTCCTCACACAGTGCCCTCAGATCAGAATTGCTCTCCTCCGAGAATAACAGTCAAGTTTAAGTCAAACCCCCAGGCAAGGGAAAGTGGCCCTTTCTCCAGGGCCAGGTGGGGAAGGTGAGTCAGCTTCCTCACCTGGGCTGATTCACACCTGTGTGGAGTGCAGGTGGGGAGGAGACAGACAGAGACGATCCCTCCCTTCGCTCTGGGGCAGCCCATTCCATCAGGCCGGAGCTGGGAGATGAGGGATTCAAGATGAACCAACGCCCCCAGAGGGGGTGATATATTCCCAAGGCCCAGAGAGGGGAGAAGATTGATGGCTTCACATAGCACCCCAGAAGCAATGCCACAATCCTGCATCCTTTCCCAGCTGCCCCCCCACCACCGTTAGGTAACAGAGCCCAGCCCCACCTCCCACCAGCCCACCCAGCTGAGCAGGCCACCACCCCTCCCTCCAAAGGCGACCCCCCCCAAGGGGTCAGTGAGTCCCGGTGACTCAGGGTGGGAAAGACCCGTGAAGTCATCCAGCGGCCAGGGCCACCTCCTGAAGCTGTCCTGGCTGCTGGTCTGACCAGCCCGGGGAGTTTCCCAGCTGTCTCCTCCCCTGGGTGCAGGACGGAGCTGCCGGTGTGGACAGAGGATGACCTCACAGGCTCCCAGCCCCTGACTCAACCCCCAGCTGCAGGCCTCAGAGGAACAGGCCCCTGACCCACCCAGCGCCTTCCTCGCAGCCCCACCGCAGAAAGGAGTGAAGGAGACGCCTCGAACGCGGTGTTGGCGCAGGGCCCAGGGCTTGGCTGGAGCGGGAGTCAGGGAACACTGTGATCATTTCTATGCTCTTCGGGGCACCCACTGGAGCAGCCAAAGCTTCATCACTGAGCTCATCAGAAAGTGTTGCCCAGGACCGAAGGCCGCAGACACTGGAGAAACAGGGACGAAGGTTCAAATTTGACCTTCCCCAGTCTCGAGGCTTGGACCCCTGCACGCCCTCTCTCTGGGCCTCAGTTTTCTCATTTGCCAAATGGGGCAGGTGAGAACTGCCTGGACTGCTGGCTGGGAGGACAAAATCAGTGTCCCCAAAGGAAACAGGCACAGGGATGTGAGGAAGGAATCTTAGGGACCCGGCCTAGGGGACCAGGTCTGAGCTGTGTTCATCTGGGATGAGGAGGGAGCAGGGGACATCCCACCTCTCCCCACAGCCCCCCTGTCTGTAGTGCCTCCCACTGGCTGGCCCCACTGCCCAGAGAACTCACTTCACAGGCAGGGGGTGAGGGCAGTGGGAGGGCCCAATGGGAATGCCTTCACAGCCCGTTCCTGCTGAGCACAGCCACAGCCAGGTTTCAGTCTGGGCCCTGGGGATACAGCGGTGCCCAAGACAGCCCAACACCACCTTCCACAGGAAGAGAGAGAGGGAGAGAGGAGGGGGTGAATTTGGAGAGATGTTTTAACCAAGGAAAACCCAACAGGGTATTCAGAGACCACTGACACAGATAAGGCCCCGAGAGTTGGCATAAGGACCCCGACACCCGCCCCCATCGCTCTCCCAAAGTCCAGAGAGGTTGCTCAGGCTTGCAGGGGGTGGGGACCCAGGAAGGCTCAGTCGGCCAGCACCTCCCTGGGCCATTCCAGGCTTTGAGCTGACATGTGGCAGGGCAGGCAGGCTGCCAGCCGAGGGAGCCCATCCCAGGGAGCCATGCACATTCCCAGACAGGCACATTCCCGGGCACATTCCTGCGGGGGAGCCACTCTGCCACCCGCACCGCCCCGCCTGCCCTGCACACAGTGCCCATTGTCTGCCCAGACACTTTGAGCTGCCGCCACCCCCGGCCTCTGCCACATCCCCACGCCTCCCATTCCCGGATGGGGCTCCACAAGCCCAAGCACCCGTCTCCGAGCCCCCGGCCCTGAAGGGCAGATGTCATTTTTTTTGGAACCAAGCAAGGATTAGAGGAGGGAAGTGACTTGCCCCAGGTCACAAAGGCCAAATCCAAATCCAAATCCCTGGACCCGCAATTAATTACTCTTCCCTAAGGATCCTTCCTCCTCCAACCCTACACCTTTGGGCACCCTGGGGCAACAGCTTAGACCTTGCCTCCCGAGCACCTGCTGTGGGCCAGGCCCTGTGCTGCCCCCTGCAACCTCTCTGGTAGGGCCCAGAAGCCCTGCTGGGTGTGAATTTCCCCAATGTCACACAGGACCAAGAAATGACTCAGGGCAGGAGGAGTTTGCCAAGGCCACCCATCGAGGAAGCCAGTGAGCCAAGATCCAGGCCCATGCACTTTCCACCTCCTGCAGGGAACAGTGTGGGGCAGAGCCAGCGGGGGTGGGAGGGACCGAGGGAGCATCCAGGGGAGAAAGTGTGTCCAAACAAAGCCTCGAGGGGAAGGGCCCTGCTCCTTGAAGCCAGGCATGCCTTTGTTTGCTCAGTCACCCAGCAACATCCAAGCCTGTGGTGTAGACGACGCACCAGGCTAGGATGCAGGTGGGACATGGGGTGAGGAGTCGAGATAGCCTGCCTTCAGGGAGAGGGGTCAGACAATATGCACTCCTCAGGTCATAAAACCAGGGAGCAGCCAGGCACAGTGGCTCATGCCTGTAATCTCAGCACTTTGGGAAGCTGAGGAGGGTAGATCACCTGAGATTGGGAGTTTGAAACCAGCCTGACCAACATGGATAAACCTTGTCTCTACTAAAAATACAAAAACTAGCTAGACGTGGCAGCACATGCCTGTAATCCCAGCTACTAGGGAGGCTGAAGCAGGAAAATCGCTTGAACCAGGAGGCGGAGGTTGCGGTGAGCCAAGATCTCGCCATTGCACTCCAGCCTGGGCAACAAGAGCAAAACTCCATCTCAAAAAATAAAATAAAATAAAACAGGGGGCTGCTGAATCTAAAATATCAAGCCCCGCTTCCTCCCCAGCCCCCTTCGTGGTTTCCATCTCTCCTTAGCGCTCACGGGGCCTAGTTCTAACCCACTTCAGAGCCCATCCATAGACAGTCACTCTACTGACCTTCCCTGCTAAGAGGCTTTGCAGGTGCCGTTCCCTCCCCCAGAGAGCCTCAGGCCTTCTCTCTCGCTTCCTTCAGAGTCCTGTTCAAAAAAGACCACCCTATACAAATAGCAACTCCACGTTCACCCCAGCACCCAGCACCCACCTCCCCCAACCCTGCACCCTGATTCTGGCTCTTCCCACTATCTGATTTACCACTCGTTTACTTGCTTTTCATGTGTAATGCCTGCCCTCCCATCCCCCTGCTAGAATGGAAGGTGTATGAGAGTTGGGATTTTCATCTGTTTTGCTGTATGAAGTAGATGAGGGGAGAATCTGAACTGATGATAAGATTATTTTAACTCAACATACCAGTAAAACCAGCTCCAAGATCAAGACAGAAAACGTTTCCGGCCCCCAAAAGCCACCCAGGCCCTCCCTCTGGTCAGTGCCCACCCCTGCCCTCAAGCCCTCAAGGGTAACCACTCTCCTGTCCAGGAGCCCACCTGGTCCAGACCTCTGTGTCAGTGGGATTGGCGTGTGATTTCTTTTTCTTTGTTCTGAGTTTTGCTCTGGTTGCTCATGCTAGTGCAATTGCACTATCAGCTCATCGCAACCTCCACCTCTCGGGTTCAAGCGATTTTCCTGCCTCAGCCTCCCGGGCAGCTGGGATTATAGCCATGCACCACCACGCCCAGCTACTTTTGTATGGAGATGGGGTTTCTCCATGTTGGTCAGGCTGGTCTTGAACTCCCAATCTCAGGTGATCCGCCCACCTTGGCCTCCCAAAGTGCTGGGATTACAGGGGTGAGCCACAGTGCCTGGCCAGCGGTGTGTTATTTTTTTGCAGGCATGGGCTTTCTGCACTCGGCATGAGTTCCACCCACGCTGCTGTCTGCAGCCAGGGTGACAAGTGGGCTTTTACCTTAAGCAGCAGGTGCAGGGATCCGGAGTTCTGGGAGGTGTGGCCGACCAGCCGGGCCCAGATAGGGTTGGAGATGAAAGTGAGGCAACGGCAGCTCATCGACAGCGTTTCAAGCCACGGAATTTGAGTAATTTTCTTTCTTTTTTTTGAGACAGAGTCTTGCTCTGTCACCCAGGCTGGAGTGCAGTGACGTGATCTCGGCTCACCACAACCTCCAACTCCTGGGTTCAAGCGATTCTCCTGAGTAGCTGGGAGGCACCACCATACCCAGCTAATTTTGTATTTTTTGTAGCAATGGAGTTTCTCCATGTTGGTCAGGCTGGTCTCAAACTCCCGACCTCAGGTAATCTGCCCTCCTTGGCCCCAAAGTGCTGGGATCACAGGCGTGAGCCACTGTGCCGGGCAGGAATGTGAGTCGTGTTGAACCGGCCACGCCACTGACAGAATCGTTTCTTGCCACTGCAACCTTCAGGGCCACTCGCTGCAGGTCACGCCTCCTGCCCCCGATCCGCTGTGAGGTGCTAGAAGGACGGTTTGGAAACAGAGCCCTATTTCAGGAACAGAGAGTTGAGGCTTAGCCAGGGAGAGTGACCGGCCCCCAGGTCACTCATCTGATAGGGTTGGGCCAGGACTCCTCGCTCTGTGCTGGAGACACCTGCACTGCCCTCTGAGTGTGCTAGGTCGGCTGGGGGAGGCCGGGCTCACACCCAAACCAGGACACAGCCTATAGTGAGGGTCTGGGTGAGCTGGGAGGTGTTCAGAATAAGAGAGCAACCCATGAAGGCTCCCGGGAGGAAGCAAACCTGGTGGTGACCCAGAGGAGCCTTCGGCAGGGTAACTCCCACCTGAAGTCCCCATCTCCCTGGCAGTGATATCATTAGCAAGACAGAATGCTCGGGACACACAGCTGGAGGATGGGGCAAGCTGAGGCAGGGACCAGGTGAGTGGTTGGAAATACATCACTAGCCAGGGGACC